TGCACAATAGCTAAAGTCTCTAACTTAACAGTTATGCCAATATAAATTTCAAAGTTTAATCTCTTTTACTCAAAGAAATCTTTTTGAATAAAAATGTCTTCCTTTGAAGAAGGATGATTTTCTTTATTTTATTTTCCAAAGCCATCAAGCTTTAAAAATGAACAAACAAAATACAGAAATTAAAAAATGTATGCAAACTATTTTTTTTAAGTTTGGGGCATGTTAAATGTTTTCTAAAAAATTCAAAACCACTGAAAAATATTCTCACCAGTTCTGAGCAGACTTAAGAATGCAATGCATGATTGCTCCTATAATGCATATTCTTTTATTGTCTGAAAAGGAAGTAAGCTAACTTTCCAAATAAGATACAGTCTGGTTGCTAATATAATTAGGCTGTATATTTGTTTTCAGACAGGCAATTTCTGTGTGTTTTCAAGCAAGACACTCAAATCCAGAACTGCCAGGAAGGTTAGCTGCTGCTGATGCAACAAGCACTGGAAAACATGAGTGAGCACATGGCATTAGCAATGGCCCAAGGACAGAAGAGATGGATGGTTTGTTCTGGGGGTCACACTGAATCTAAGGCAGCTGATGGGAAGGACTGAAGACATGGATGTGCTGCAAGTCTCTCCTGCTATAGGACAAGTTCTTTATTTCTTCCCTAAGTTTTTAATTTTCATTTATATTATTGACATTATTTAATATTTGCAAGATTTTTTGAAATATTTGCATGAAACCACTAGGCAAAGCATTAATTTATGTTTCTATAATTGATAGTTTTTATTTGTACTGTCTGGTATGAAAGGTATCATAACTGTATTGACACAAGTTTAAAATGAAATAAAAACATTTTATTTCCTTGAGAAATGTATAACTTGAGCTGGAAAAAAAAAAAAGTATTTTCATACCTTACAGAACAAAAAAAAAAAAATTAAAAAAAATTAAAATTAACTTCTTTCTTTTTTTAAAAAAAAGCTTCTTCTCTACCCCTCAAAAACTGTAATAAAGTTAAGTATAGTTATGATATTAGGCCAAGGTCTTAATTGATTTTTCATCTGTGGAAGTTTAGTAGACAGAAAGAGAAATCAACATCTTGTTTCTGGTATCTTGTTACAAGATGCATTGTAGCCATTTGGTGTTACAGTCAGTAATGCTATGTTAGTATCTCACTATCAGCTCTCTTGGACTTCTTAGGCTAACTGGACTCTAGGAAATAAATATGAGAAAAGGGTTTATAAAAATATAAGAGATAGTAGTTCTTAAGGTATTCTATAAAAAACAGGGAAGTTTTAAAAGTTGTTCTCCATTCTAGTTGTTGCCCATTCTCTCAGATCTGAGAAAGCTTTAGGACAGCCAGAGCATTAGCCCACTGCACTGCACTGATTCTGGAAAGTACTTTTTCAAGTTTTGTGCATCTGCACAAAGAGTATGGAACATACTATGGCTATAAACCAGAATATTAGCTATCCATTACTCACAATGCAAATCCAAATAAATAGCTGTATTACTATAATTCAAAACCAAAACAAACAAAAAGAAACACACAAAAAAACCCAACCAACCCAAAATAAACAAAGAAACAAACAAACCACAAAAAACTGAAAACATGTGGCAGCAGGACACCATCGAGACACAAGTTTGCCATGTAGAACAAGATTCCCATAGCACATCACCAGTTACCTTTCATGATTGCATCTAGGTAAAGGTTAACAATCAGAGTGGTAGCATCCACACATTTCAAGTGGGGTGCAGATCAATCTGTTTGCATTTTGAAGATAATGGGCAGTGCAAGGATGAATTAAATATTTTTTCCTTTATGACAGTTTGCATGTAGCCTGTGATCTTTCGCTTGAGGGTAATGCAAATACCCCTGTATTAAAAGCTCACTGTTTTTTCCTGCTTCCTATGTATTCTGCTATCTTGGTATCATAGCTTCACGGGTGATAATGAAATGGCATCACTTCTCTCAGGGACACTTAGTTTTAATACTGTCAACAACTGCACAAAATTAAGTTAAAACAAAACCAAATAACCTCTCAATTTGCAGTCCAAGCAATATCATCAGAATGCAGAGCACACAATAAGAGGCTAACAAAGCTCCTGAAGGTGCTATGGTGATGCCACAGTTTATCTCCTACTAATTTGGTTTTAATGAGGATATTATAGCTGCTATCAAAAAGTAGAGAGGACAATATTTTCTCCCTTTTTAGGGGTGGCAAGGCTTGGAACCACACACTTCTGAACTCAATAGGCTTGAAATTAATCCAGGATTATTCAACTGCATGAGAACTGTTAGAAGACTGGAAATGACATCCCATATTCTGTCTTTTAATTGTAACCTTCCTTATAGTATCATCTTGCAGTGAAACCTGAATATCCTAATGGGATTAAACATAAAAGAAAGTCAGGAAAAAAGTCAATGGATTAGAATTTTAACTGAAGCCTTCTGTGAGAAAGACCACACCACTGTCAGTGACCTTTGTCTCTCCATGTGTGATCCCAGTTGTGCCTAGTCAAGTGTCCAAAGGAGACGCCATCAGTTCACGCTGTATTTATCCTTTTACTCCTAAAACAGGTGTCTTGTTACTAAGAGAACAAGCATTCATGCCATTGATCAGGGTGTATTAACCCACCCTGCAATAGGACATAATGTTCTCTGGTATAAAAAGCAGAATGTAATGATGCTATTTAAGACCTGAGTTTTGTATTGATAAAAAGCAGCACTCTCAGCAAAAGGTAATAAATTCTATACTAGCAAATAGGGGTAAGGGAAAAAATGCAGGCTTCTGAGTGTTTTCTGAATGCCATTTCTATCTCCAGCTCCAGCCTTTGTTTGTTTTTTAAATGTACTCTCTGATAAGTTTGCTTTTAACATACCTAAAAAAATGTTGCTTTAGAACCTCACACTGTATCTTCACAGCCTTCATTAGATACCACAAGAATGCTTTTCATCCCATTTTTACTCTGAACTCCTGAAGTCCTCCCTAGTGCTGAACAATTATATTAATTAGGGAGCAGTTATACACAGATGAGCACAAAACCGAGCTCAATCAAAAGAAACTTCTAAAACACTTTTCATTTTTATCTTTCTAGATCTCTTTTCCTTCACAGTGCTTCAAAGATTCATACTCAGTCTCGTAAATGTTATCACAAATCATTAACAATAGTGTAAACTCTAGTGTGGGAGGATGTGTATGAGGTTGAATTCCTTTTCCTACATCCGGATACATGCCCCAAATTGAGCAACAGAGGAGCTTTCCTCACATTTTCACAGCCAGTGTGTTCTAGTAATGTAACTCCAGCTCAACCTACTCCTGCTCTCCTTTTCATACTAAATCACATCATAAGATGTCAGGCAAATTGCTGTCCACTAAACCTGAAATCTTAGGTATTATATGTTTTATTCTTATATGTTTTGCTGTAGCAACGACTAGACTTAGTGCTGACCCAGTACAAAGAGCAAGAAGATGGTCCTTGACATTTTGAGCTTGTAAGATAAGTAAAAGAGAAGAGACAAAGAATAGGTAGAGGGCCAGGTATATGATAATCAGGTATTCAGATCAGCACTCAGTAGGCTATGACTACTGCTCACTTTTTCTCTGACAGTTCTGACTTGCAGATTGAGGTTATTATTGTCAACATACAATTTGCTATCAATATTTATAATCTCTTTGGCTCCTGTTTAAAGCCCCAGTGCTTCTTTTTCCACAATTAAAAAAAAAATAAATAAAAAAAATTAAAAAAATCCCTCTTGATCTGTTCCATAGTATAAATTCCTTCACCTTCTCCCACCCTGGCATCCCAACCTCTCCTGCAGTATACAGAAAGAGGCCAGAGAAGGGAACTAGGTTTTACAGGAACAATATGGTGATATACACAGCTTTTCATAAAGAAGATAAATAAGGGTAGGATTAGGTATTTGACATGAACATGGATGACAGTTTCAACACTATTGTTTTAAAAAACCTGCTTCCTGGTCACAGAAGTTCTTGTGACAAAATGTGTTCCTCTTGGATGCTCTAATATTTGGAATGAATCCACAAAACCTTTTAGTCTGCCTAAAATCCCAGAGACAGAAGCCCTGCCCTTGGTTATGATTTACTACGTTGCTTCCCTCTTTGAAGTGACTGGCTTATCTTTGCCCACCATATCATGTACCAACGTTTAGTCCTCAGACTCTGGAATCCAAACAGACAGCTTTGCTCCAGTCTGTGTCCCAGGGTTTCTATCTAGTGAACAATATATTTATCACCATAGTTTCACTAACTGAAACCCAGTTCCTTTATTTCATCATCTTTCTTCCAATTCTGTGTCTAATTAAGCTCTCCTGCACTAGCCCCATTGTAGCACTATTGGACAGACTCTCACCTTTTTCTACATTCAGGAGACCCACTGTTTTCTAAGGATTGTTATTTCTTGGGAGTAATTTATTTGTATTCCCAAATTTATATTTGGATAAATAAGACGTAAGTGAAAATCTTACCTTCCTTTGGAATAATAAGTGGGTTTTTTCCATTGTGTTTATTCATCTTCTAGAATAAACACTTTTCAGAAGCTTTTGTCTTGAACACTGATAAACACATCAACTTCATAAATACCTTTCCTAGTGAAAGGATTTCCATGGCTCTAAAGTCACAGATAGACAGTTACAGAAACTCCAGTCTGTCCATTGTGTGGCACAGAAGGACTGTTTTCTCACAAGCAAATAACAGCTCTCTGATGGGTAAGGTTTTGGCTAACCAAAGTAAGGATTAATAAACCTGGAGTTCTCACATACATGGCAACTGTAACAGGTACATATGTTGGACTTACCTTTAATATCCAAAATGTTGCGTAAGTGCTGTATTTAATATGATTTCAGCCTTTAGAACTCAGCCAATCTCACTAAAACTGACTCTACATCAGCTTTGGCCAATGTAACCTAATTTATAACACAGCACAAACAGAAACCAGTTAAGTCCACTATTAATTGGTATAGCAAAAGAATATAAAGACAATACCTGGACAAACCCACACATCATATAGTCATCAAACAAAGGCAGACTAGGGCGGTCCTCTCGATAAATTGTGATTTTGTAGCTGCTCACAACCTGAGGGCTGGGCTGCGAACCATCTGTTACGAGAATGATGACTTTGTTCAACCCAAGGCCCAGGGGATAGTTAGCAAAGCTGCAAGGCAAAACAGTGAAGTGGTAGAATAAATACTAAAGAAACAATTACTTACACTGCTGTATCTATAGCAGCTCAACTTTATTTGCTCCTTGAGGCTTCTATTTCTAACATTTTCTTTCTCATACAAAATACATATGATTTTAAAGAAAAAACTGTGTGAAATAAGATTTGTGACAATTTAAATTTCTTTCAGGAATATGAAATATTATCAGTGAAACTTAGTGAAGACAGCTTCAGTGGCCATGACAACAATTCTGACATGAAATCTGTGCATGAAGCCACTAGGGACAATATTTCCTGGCAGGTCCAAGTTCGTGGTGAAGTCAGATGGGAGACAATCAAGTAGCTTAGGCCGCAGTGCAAAATCAAGGCCTAGACACAAAAAGCTCAAATTCTTTGTTGGCTTTGTTTGCAGTGTAATGATGGTCTGTTCCCACTCAGGTTTGATACTGTCAGTCACTGGAGAAGGTAGGGGAGTTGCTAGCAACTGTGCATGCTGTAAAGCTGGGGTTAGTTATGTCTTGAGAACATAATACTGTTGCCTTCAGGATATCGACAAATAAATAAACATTTCTGAGTGTTGAGCTCCCTCTGACTTTCCTGTGACTAATCTATAGGCATTGCCTGCTTTTGGAAACACAAAGCAATTCTGTAACATCCTGACATAGTTCCAAAGTTAAGGACACTTTTATTTTTGTACTTATAATTTTGTTCTCATACCTTGGCCCTTTCTTCTCATCAAGGTGTACTTGGCATTGACAGTTAGAGGGTTCTGCTCCTATCTTCACTGTCACCATGTCGAATGGGACTTCTGCATAGTATTCTTTGATCTTTGGGTTAAAGTGAGGATTCAAGTCCAGCTGTGGACTGGTGAAGATCTGCCTGATATGAGATAGGGTATCTTTATCTGTTCCAAGAAGGCATCAAAGAAAAAACTGTGAAATGTATGAACATTTTTAAGTAACATGCAACTTATGGCAGATTGATAATACGTACAATGGCAGGCTGTTTAATGCCTGGTCACTATGAGACTGATAATTCTGTTGCAAGGTCTTAATGGAGTTTGTATTGGCACTTAAGAGAAATTTTTAGACCCTGGAGGGATTTGAAACATTCAGTGCCCAATGACTCGAGTCAGAGCCACAAAACTCAAAGTCTGAGTAAGCCTTTGAAAATGCAAGGATTAAGCCTGGGAGATCCTGTCTCCAGTTGGTTATCTGAAACTTAAAGAAGAGTTAGACCAAAATTCATAACCTACTTAGGTACCAGCCTGTGTACAGGGTTTATGTACTTATTTAATTGGCAATAAAAATCAAAATAATTTAGACATACTCTTACTGTTCATAAGAACAAGTCACATGAATATATCTAGACCCATGGGGTCATTTGCAGTACAGCTGGAAGAATGTTTTATTAAAATTCCTAAATCAACGAATTCCAGCTCCTTCCCTGTGCATGAAATCTCCACAATCAAATCCTATTTGCTCAAAAGTATCCTTTATTTTGTAGTGTTTGCCAAATGACTAATGAGAATAATTATTTGTTGGCAACCCACTTACGACAAATATTTTAATCCAACCTATTGGATTCAGATTTACAGTACAATTACACATTCAAAACTTGCCTTCCACATGTATTCTCTAGTATGTGTTTAAAACTGTACTTCAGAAAATACTCCAGCCAGAAAACTCTTTTACTGAAAAATCTTGTGGCTTGCATCATAAAAGATGTAAGCAATGTGGGCCTTGAGAAACAAACTACAGCAATTTCAGCACTCTCTCACATGGATTAAAATGTAAAGGAAATTATTCTATTGGAAAAGCATAATTTGGGCTAGGTTTGTAGGGGAATAGAGGCTTATAAGTTGACATACATAAGGTATTTTTTAAAAAATCATACCTATGTGCATAAACAGTTCTCCAGATCCTGTATGCCTTACCAAAAAAAGGTTATCTCACTACTAGCTTAAAAATTAGGAGGAATTTTCAAAATAAAAAAAAAAGGAGGTATTTTAAAAAAATAAAAATGTAATTGGAATGGTGATGCCAGTCAGCTAACTTAGGAGTGTTTCTGGTCTCTAACTGAGACAGGAGTTCCTGGAGGCCCTGGATCAGCAACAGAGGGGAAATGATGTTCAGTGGGTAGAAAAGACTTTTCACCAGAGAGCAATTGTTTCCTGTTTATTAAGTAACACCTCAGATAATGTGTCAATGAGGAAGGAAGCTGAAAGCAATGCTCCACCAAAGACAAATATACTTTCAATCTTCACATATCTTTAAATATTCTTTAAATATTCCTCCAAGCAGATATTTTTGAAAAATTCTTCATCACTTAAGTAGCTCTTTAAAACTCTACCACTGAGCTGAAGACCAGCCTTATACAAGGCTGATTAAACTTCATACAAGTTTAAAGTTCATTCCACAAGAACAAATGTATGCTGAAGTTCTTGAAAATAAGGGGGGAAACTCTATTGAAATGGAGCAAGGGATAAATGAGTGCTGGAATACTTGCATTAATACATATCCATAGCAAAGTTTAACTTTGTGCCTGAGGTTTATTTAACATAATAGCCCGATTATTGAGTGATTCATAAACATTCTTGCTACTTAAAAATCCTTTTGTATATATATACACATACACACACACACACACATATCTATATCTATATCTATCTATCTATCTATCTATCTATCTATCTATCTATCTATCAAAATAGCCCAGGAGGCACTCCATTCACTGAAGGGTTATGCTGAAAAACCCAAGAAATTTGTACAAGTAAGCTCTCTCCTCTTAATGGTCTAGAAAGACCTTGACTTACCATAACTGCATTGTCTTTCTTTAGTCTTACTGGAATAAAGTAATGCTGAAATATAAACAGAAATAATTAATGTTTCTCTGCTCTAAGCCTGATTCATAATTCTATAGGAGAAGGAACTTTTATTGTGTTAATTATACAAAATACAATGTAATTTTATTATTTTCAGTATGAGATCTTTGCTTTAGGTTCATAAACACTGCTCATGGGCTCAGCAGAACAGCTTCCACAGATAAGGAAGAAATTTGTCTTTTATACGTAGTAAGCCAAGACCTTCCAGCTGGAATGCAAAACAATGTAACCTAAATCATCCATGTTATCTGAAGTAATACAAATAGATAAAACACACCATATATAAAAGACCTTACTCTGATCCCTTACCTTCATGATTCTTCTTGAAGTCAAAAGGAATATTCTGCTTAGGACTTGCATTTTCTTGGGGAGAATTCCTGTCAATTCAATAGCAGACATATTTCTACATTAATAGAAGGAACAGAAATAATGGAACATTTTTTAAAAATTTCTATATGTCAACCCAGGCCAGATGGTATTTTAATACTCTCCATGGAAAGATGAACTTCCTGGATTCATGTAATCAGCATTAGCAATATTACCTGAATGACTGTGACAGAGCATACATATTCCATAATAAATAGTAAAATATAATATGAAAAAAAGGAAAACAGAAATAAATTTCAAAACATAATAGAATTTTTGGGAGAAGGAAGAGTGAACATACCCAAGAATAAAACAGCCTAAACCATACCTCTTAACTTTTTGCATGAAGTTTTTTTGTGCATATTTGAGGTTAAAGTTAGACTCTGTTAAAAAATAACTAAATACAGATGAAGGCCTGTGTCAAGGTGAATCTCTGTACTGATGTTAGCATGTATTCATGTGAAGGATCATCTACCTGTTTCGAGTTGTTTGCTAATTTAAAACAAATCATGTTATCAACATTCAGAATATAAATATAAATCCTCAATGAAAAAAGACGTCAGCTGCAACCATATGTTAACATGATAGTGGTGCCCAGCTTGCTAACTCTGCAGATTTTTTCTTTCATAGAGCATTTTGGGAGCACAGAAGAAGAAAGGCACTAGGCATCTCTCCAACCCATGTACTGGACCTCTGACTTACATGAACTTTTCACAGTTCCATTAGCATTTCTGGAAGCTTTCATGCTTTCCTCTCAGTGTTTTCCATAAAAGTTCACATAAAACATCTTGTCCCAGACACTGCTGCCCATACAGTATGGATTTTGAAAGACACAAAGTCACTGTGTGTGCCAAGGAAGGGAGGTGGCAATACTGTTCTGTGCAACCAGTCATCACTAATGTTTCAAAAGGAGCTACTGAAAGCAATATTGAGGTCAATCATGCTAAAAGGTAAACTGTCCAATAATAAAACAGAGATTTCTGCATTATCGCAATGAGATAAGGAAAGAGGCAGCTGGCAGATCTGTGTGTCTGTGTGTGTGCGTGAAAAGATAGTTCTGAGTTTGTAGTGTCTAGACAGTGCCCTAATTTCATGCACATTCATTATGTCATTCAAAGTAGGCACTTAATAAACTATTAGAAACTTTGTTTTCCAAGTTACAAGTCTTTTTCCACACCTTTTTCTGCTTGCCAATGGCCAAAACCCATCCAATGTATTTTTTCTTTCTGTTGTTCCTTTTTGAATGCCCAGTTCCAAACCCTATTGTAAAGTGAAAACAAGATTTCTTAACCCTATAAAAAGCCAGACTTCGGTTTAGCCAGAGGACACCTCAGGAGTGTGGCAGCCACCATCACTGTCAGGCCCCAGCTCCCAAAGGAACAACATAACCTGTAAGTGTCAGCTTTGTAAAGAGATTGTAATTGTCATTAGAATATATTAAGAGACATATAGTAACTCTATCTAATTACAGCAGGGTATAAAAACATAATATTTAGAACTGATATTACAGAAAGATACTCAGATTACAGTGTTGCCAGCAGGACTAGGGAATGACTGTCCCTCTATTCTTGGCACTGGAGGTAATTTTGTGAGGTATGAGCACTAGCAATTTTTTTTCTGTTTGATTAGCTGGTAGTGAGAGCTCCCTGTTCTGTAGAGCATTTGCTTGGCTTCAGTCACAGATTTTCAATGAGGCCATTTGATTCACTAAATGATGTATCTTGTGCTGCTCTTCAAAAGAAAAATACAAAATTGCAGCCCCAAGACTGGGATTTGTTTTCTGGCACTTAATCCCAAATGTCTCTCTCCTTTCCTCCTTTCCTCTGTCTCTAATTCCTCCCATTGCAGATCAGTTCTTACTGCAACTGTCTTGTCATAGTCTTCTGCCCCATAGTCAGAATGTTTGTTTCTCAAACTGCCCAGGTGATGAGCATGACCAACTTAACCTTAGAAATTATTGTCAAAGCAAATTCAGCTTGAGGGTTGCTGCTTCTATGTTGACCTAAAAAGGGCTTGCTTGTGGGGAGCTAGTAACACTTTTCCAAATATATCAGTTGATTTCATCAAAACTTTTGCAACTTTATTGACCTGCATAGGCTTTTCTCACTAATCTGGTTGTCTCATGCTCCCCTGCTGCCTGAGACAGCCAAACATCCTTGCCATGGCACTTCGTAGCCCCTATTATAAAAGACAGCAATGATATATGTCTTAGTCATATCACAAACTGTAGCTGTATAGAGTTGAAAAACAGTGCGCAAACTATGCAGAAAATTTATTTCAGTGCACCTTAGGTAGTACCACTCCATGACTTGCAAATAACTTTGTCGTATTTTGTACCAATACATCTAAGATGATCATTCTCACCTAGGCTGTAACCATTTCATTATAGTTTGAGATGAGTTGCTAGAGTTCTTCTTGCTTCTCCTGTGGAAGGAATTCAGAATGTTCACTAATAACATTTAAGGTTTCAGTACTAGTCATGTAGATAAAATTAGTTAAGAAAACCAGGAAACTTCTTTAAATCCTGTTTCCATTCTATGACTTTATGATCAGTGAACATAATAACTGTAAAAGACCTAAGTCAGAGGTCAGTATTTTTCCCATAAGTATCTTTCCTAGTTAGACAGTCAACTGTGAAAACAACTGGATTTTTTAAAATAGAAATACCAGTTTTGTACAGGCAGAGAAATAAGAACTATTAAAAGAGTTAACCAAACAACCTGGCTTTAACTGAAGAAATTCAGGAAAAGTGTTCTGATACAGAAATCCATCAAGGCTGGTAATCTCAAAAAAGATTAATCAAACCTCAAAGAGAAGGTTGGGGAGTAAGCTCTACTAAGCTCTTTCTTCCTTGCAATTAAGTATAATTACATGCATATCTGACACATGCATCACCATCACATGCATGTAGCTATAAGAGTGGAAGATTATGATTTAGCAATGTCAAAACACACATTTTTTATATAGAGTGAATGAACAGAATGGTGCTATTAGCTTAGCCATTGCAGAAAAATACATTGCGAAGAAGCAGTCTGGCCTATGCCCTGGAGAAAGGTCATGGTGCTTCCACGTATTTATACACATACAATAATGTTCAGCTTGAAGATAAAAAAAGAGGCCAAGGGAATTCGTCGAAGTGAGTGAGTGGCACAGCTTAGATTAGAACAGAAAGCTGCTAAAGGTTGGTATGCTTTGATATGCAAACCTAAATATTTTGGCAAAAGGGCAAGGGCTTACACATGAATGCAAGCAGCTGCATCTATAAGTTACTTTTCATGGACTGACCGGCAGTAACAACAATAATACCTAACACATTCACCCAACTGTGTGTTTTCAAAACACTAATAAACAGTTTCCTAGCACAGGGGTAAGTATAAGCCCCGCTTTACAGCTAAGCAAACAAAGATACAGATGTCTATCAACTTGCTGAAAGCCACAGCCAATTCAATAAGGACCAAAAAAAAACTTAAGAAATATTACAGGCACCTTATATAGTCACTATTACATACTCAAAAAGAAAAAGTACAAAATCATATTATATGCACATTTAATGTCAGACACACACATTGCCTAATGTGCCTTTGTTCCCAAGCCACTGCATGTATGTCCGCAGTCAGTAAAGAAGTATGGCATGTGTATGAAGCATCATACACAAGAGATAATGATCACAGAAAACACATTTTTACAAATTTTTTACTAACTTACAGTATAACACAGCCTTCCTGCCTGCCTGCCTGCCTGCCTGCTTGCCTTCCAGTGAAAATCAATAGTCCCTTTTGGAAAAATCACCTGAATTTTTGTACTTTCTTTACAGTTTTGTTTTTAATTGGTGAATAAATTAAAAAACAGTCTTAATCTTTATAAACACTCCTAATTTTGGACTTGCAGTTGTTCAGAGAAAAAACCCTACCTATTTTACTTCATATTTCTTAGAAGAAAAAAAAATGTACTCTAGCTCCAATTAACTCTGTATTAGAAAGAGAAGCTGTCCTATATAGAAACTTAGCTACATCTCCAACGACAGAACAGCTCCATGATGGGGTGACAGGCCTTTATCTCAAGTGTTCATAGTCTACCTACATCTGCTGAAGGATTCAGTTTTATGATGCTCACTGAAGCTACTGAAATAAAAATAATTTGAGAAACTACCCAAACACACCAAATAGTAGCTATCTTACCATTGTGAAAGACTTGTATGTGCCTCTTTAGTCATGAACTGGAATTGTTCAAGTAAACTGGAAAGCAACCAATGCACAGTCAGGACTGAACCAAGCCGCCTCATCGGGTCTACCATGTGATAAAGGTCACGTAATAAAGTTTGAATCCTGGGTGCAGCAGAAGGGAAAAGCTGAGAAGAGACATGCTGATTAGAGACACACATTATACTATTTGTAAAATGTAAAGAAGTGAGAAGCCATCAGAAGGCTGTATATAGCGTATGGATTGATGTACATTAATGCTCTTTCCTACTTGTGTAGAAAATTACTGTCTTGCCCAGCTTTGTAAATCAAGATGACTAGTACTGACATAGAAGTCTAACTCCTTTGCCTTTGATTTGACTTCCAGTTCTAAACTCAATCCCTCTTCAGAAAGTCTTATCAGTCTTCAACCCTGATACTCAACCAGGAGGCCTAGAAGAAATCCTGGTATCACATAGACTTTCTGAACAACAGATCCAGTTGCAGATCTTTTATTTCCCCAATACTCAAGTTTTCCCTCATTAACTGCCATGACTGTTCACACTTACTGTTATTCCTTTATCTGTCTTCTTCTCCAAAAATGAACTCACTTTAAGTGTGAAGAAGATACACCATATATTCCACCTGCTTGGGTTTTTTTTGCCTTTTTTTTTCTCTCCTATCCCCCTGTCCCCCCCCCCTCTTTTTAATGTGTATCTATTCTTTGGTCTTGATCTCAGTGTAGTAGTGCCTCCAGTTCTTCCAGTCACACCTGCCTTGCTTCATTATAACTCTATTTTCTTACCATCTCATTAGCCTTCTATATATTTTTTATCCTTTCTTTTTAATTCTGCTTTCTGGTCACTGTTTCTGCTTTAGCTGTCTTTTTCAATTAATCCTCGATTCAAATTCTCAATTTTATTTATTTATCTCTTTTAATTTTAAACCCAAAAATACTCCAGAATAAAATCAACATAACCTCTATCTCCTTGCTTCCCTGTCCATCCAGCCTAATATATCTGCCAGAGACAGGAAAGAATGGTAATGAAAGAGGTATGTTAAGAGATTTACATAATTTATCCATCCAATACAAAAAAACCCTGTTTATTTTACCAGCTCAAATTGTCCGAGACTCTTCAGCTCCTTCATAAAAGTAATAATTGAATTTATCTCTTCTAAAGACAAACATTGCTCATCTTCTCTGTGGTAAGTTCCATCCTATGAAGGAAAGGGCAGCATGTTCTGGTGAAACCATATGGAAAGCAATGTGCTTTCATTACACCCCAATCCCTTTGGTGATCAAAGAAGTTAAAGCAGCTCTCATCTTGTCCTAACTTATTCAAAGTCATGTCAAGTCAGCTCCTTGATAGCTCTTCCCATTTCTCAATCTAGAATGAATTGAGCTGTGCATTGGCTTTGTGGAGAAAAGCACCCATAGAAACTACCATGGGAAGAGACTGCATAATAATAAAATGAACAGTTTGAAATGTGGTCTGGTCTCCTGTGGAACACAGACTTAGGCAATCATATCACACATGTGCATAAGTCTGCAGCTTCCTACTTTATCCTGTCATAAATTTGGAATCCATGACCCTGTTTTAGTCACACCTGTCTGAGAGACAGAAGTCACATGGATAATTTAGTCCCTGTAAGTTTTGCAAACAGGGAGGTCTTCAGAAATGCACCCTTAAGTGGGCCCAGATTGAGAGAAACACTGCTAAAGGAGAAGCCAGCTTGTCAGAAATAGTTTTCACTAGTGATGCAAACTTTATCCAGATCCTATAAATGTAAAAAAAAATGTAATTGGCTCTTACATTCAGAATAAGACACAAAGTTGTAGGAAACATAATGTAATTTTGATGCTCACGAATATGCTTGTTTGAGTTAATCAGGCCTAGGTTTATGAAAACACAAAAACCTGTATATTAAAAAAGACTATTTACAAAATGGTGGGGAAACGAAGTTGTTAAACTTCAAATACATCTTTAAAGTACTGTACTTTGGGGAATGATACAATTTGAGAGTGGAATTTTTATAAAAGAAAATTTGATTGTTCAATCTAATTACAGTTTTATTCCCCAGAATCCAATAACAGATAGTTTTGATTAAATAATTCCTTCATTCTGTAAGTTAGCACCAACAATTCAGAAAGGCACACAATTTTAGAATGAAATCTTTTTGAATTGTTAATAATAAGGAAAAAGTGGGGTGAACTACCTTGTTCACAGTTGATCCGTATATTTTTTGTAAAGCTTCCATGAAACTGGATGTTGACGATTCATTAGAAAAGAGAAACTTAAAAGTATCTTCAAAAAGAAATTCTTTGAAAGTTTTGTCTTGAATATTTGATTCATCTTCATCTTGAAAGTCAAAGTTTTCATGCACCTGTTGGAAAACAATGTATGAAATAATTTGAATATCAATTACAGTCTTCTCACGACCACATATACCAAACTGGAACTATTTAGGGAAA